CTTTTGTCCATGTACTTCTAACCCATGAAGGCCCACATGAAAAGGACTTCTCACACTATCGTCACAAACCTAAGGAAATTTTTCTTCGCCCTCAATTGGGTATCTTCATTGGATAGGCTAATAACGTTTCTTTTCTGATTCAAGTTATCTTCCCCCGGTTTTGCTGATGAAGCAACAACGTATGCCCTGCCCTAAGACAAAATTGTAGAACTACCTCTGCTGTAGGCCACCCAACTTATTTGTGCCGATGCTGCCTCAAATCATTACATATGGCAACGAATATATAGCTAGGCTTGAAAATTGCATTATCGCTTTGACAGTATACATGAAACGATTCCAGTTCTTGTAAATTTTGCCTCCTTCCAATTGTCGAAGTGGTTCTTGCATTGTTTTCAAACTTAGGCATACTTCCCTGGCTGGGCGAGAAACAGTTGTTGGGACTAACTATGCAACCTAAAGGGGGGGTGAATAGATTGCTCTCGAGATTTTAAAAACTTTCGCGGAAAACAGAGTGTAATAAGTAAATGTCGAGTTTCACCATATATATAAGAAGCAATGATTCACTTGTGTGCTAGAAAAAATAAACAGAAGAATAAGCAGCTGCACACAAAGATATATAGTGGTTTGGCTTTGATTCCAAGCCTAAGTCCACTCTTACCACTAATAACCACAAGTTAGGCGGGATTGCACTAATAAATTTATAAACAAGTTACACTCAGTGTACACCACTTCTATCAATTGATAGATCATACTATCAGGAGTTGGATGCAGCTTTTACTTGTTATACTTGATTTTTCAACACAATTACATTGCAGTAAGTGTTATCGACAGACAGGAGCTTTTTGCTATGTACATAGCGTGTAGTAATTTTTGGAATCTTATGAGCACTCTCTCTAACTTGTTGACTTCAAAAGACCTTCTCTTTTATAGGCATCTTCAATATGATCATTGATGACATCTTATAGAGGTAAGATAGATGTTAGAGCCGTTGGTGCTGCTGTCTTAGGAATTAACTGTCCATACAACCTTTTTCGGAACTTCTACAGACTTTTCTGAAATAGCTTCTGCTGCTGTTCTGTAATTGCGGCTCTGACAAAATGTCAGACGACCTATTCTCCTCTCTACCAAATCTTTTGCCGTGCAAGTCCAGTCAACAACGGCTATAATTGTGAGATAACAATCATATTAAATGATCCATTACCTAAACATTACCATTTACTTGATCTCTTCAGCTTCAATGAGACATCGTCATTTAGCTGATCTTTGTGATCGATGGTGCTGTTTATATGATCCTTCAAGGATAGTCTAGTGATCTTTTCTTCAATAAATTACATCATGAGTATCACTTAGTCCTTTGAATATATCTGCACTTAGATGATGTACATATTATATTAAGGATAGTTTGGGTATCATCAAAATTTATTTGGAGACGTTTCTCCAACAATAGTTGCCTAGTACATCTAGACGATGTGAAAATTCGCCAAACTCCATCTTCATATGAAGGATTTCTTGCATTAGAATATCGTTTTCGGCATTTTTCCAACTCCGCCACTTCTTTGCCACGTTGAGCCCTTGTCTTTTCAAGCTTAATCTTTCTTGCAAACAACTTCAGTTTGGTAGGTTCAACATACCCCATAGGCAAGGCAGTAGGAGCCATCAAATGTTTCCCAGATCCATGTTTCTGATGATCAAAATAGAACTTTTCACTCATTCGCCTCTTTTTTTTTTTATACGATTTAGATGATTCATCACTATCTTTATCATCCAAAGCCTTGTTATGCTCTTTAGTTTAGAGGGTGAGTGGCAACCCGGTCCTCAATTGTAGCTACAAATTTCTCCAGCAAAAGGACACTATAAGTGCCATAACTTGTGTGCGGAGATCACTTTGGTGCCATAACTTTTTTTCGGATCACTTTAGTGCCAAGTCGGAGGAAAAACGATCACTTAAGTGTCATAAGTTTTTTTTGGATCACTTCAGTGCTAAAATTTTTGAAAAACGATCACTTAAGTGCTAAAATTTTTTAAAAACGATCATTTAAGTGCTAAAATTTTTGAAAAACGATCACTTAAGTGCCAATCTCCGGCGAGCCACGTCAGCTTCAGAAATTAATAAAAAAAATGCCACGTCGGATTTCCGGCGAAAAATTGTGTACGGCACCGGAGTTGGCACTTAAGTGATCGTTTTTCAAAAATTTTAGCACTAAAGTGATCCAAAAAAAACTTATGGCACCAAAGTGAGCGCCGTACACAAGTTATGGCACTTGTAGTGTTCTTTTGCCAAATTTCTTCCTTCATTGTATAATGTCTTTCCATAAGAGATGGTAATGAAACCCTCCTTGCCAACTTTTTTCCATGGCCTTTGCGATCAATTTACCAATTTCCCTCTCACCATTGGTCGATATGGTTCCAACCCGTGCAATCTCCTCTGATGTGTTAATCATCTGTGCCCTGCTTTCTAAATTTGTTTCCACCGCACCGACTGCCCGATGCCATGTTTTAGGTCCAATGCATTCATCCAACTACAACTGACTTGGATCCCTGAGTGAATATTGTTTATGTGAGGATTGTAGCGCATGTGGATCATTGGTTGCATTACAATCTGTTTTGCAAGACTAGGACCAATGTTTTTAGTTTTGTTTTCAACCTCAACACTTCTTGTCACAGTAACACCGTCTGTTGTCACCTTGGAAGCACCAAAGCTTTACTCAATCACCACATTACCACTCTTCGAGCCCAAAGTGACCTTCATGGCATATTCAAGGTCTTCAACACCCTTAAGCATCAAGACATGCGCCTCGACCTCAAATTTGATATCTTTGACAATATAATTCCTTGTCTAGCTTGCTCTGCACCCTGCGAGTTAGGACTTAGATCAAAACGATTCTTTATCTCCTCGTCAAAATTTCTCCTTGAGAACCTTAGGTTACATTCCCGCTATTAAAGGTAACTACTCACTTGATGCTTCTCTCAATCAAAATCGATGATTACTTACGCCAAAAGAAACATACATCCTAGTACTTAACAAAAGACTCATGCACCATAAACTAACACACAATCTCACAACGTCCCATAAACTCTATACCCCAAAATCACAACCTAAGGTCTGATACTAAAAGATGTCACACCCTGAAACCTACCAGGATGATTCCACCCAAAGGACGCAGTCTCGAACCACAACAAGCAATCCAACTCCCAAAAGTCCCTTTGACAATGCTCTCGATCTATAGGCTACTAATTATGAAACTTGAAAAGATTGGGAAAAGAGAGGGTGAGCAACCACAGTTCAGTAAGTAGTATGTATCTCTTTTAAGCAGATCGAGCAGCCACTATGCATGTATACATGAAACCATACCAGAATTTTAGAAGCCAAACTCAAGATATAAAATACATATTGAGTCACATAAGAGTTGTTTCGTTTAAACAAGACTTTATACAATTCAGAAAATACTTATTTAAATCATCATAAACTTTAATGATCAAGTCTATTGATCAATCTCTATAAAAAAACCACGTCAATGGTCTATTCTATTAACTAATTTTAAATCACACATCAAGGGTCTATTCCATCGATGAATCTCATATCACATCATACGTCGATGATCCATTCCATCGACCAATCTATTGTTCAATATCAAACCATGGTCACGACACAAAGCTTTGTAACAAGGCTACCAAGATTCCTCCCTTGGCAAAGTCTCCACCTACAAAGCCAGTGGCTCAGCCTAGAAGGATATCCTAACCCGGCTTGCATCCCTTCAAACCCCTCAATGGGTTCACAGCGATATTAAGCATAAAACCCATATCCTCTAATACCAACAATCAAATCCACAATCAATATCACCAATTGATTTCACAAAACCAAACATATAATCTTTATCAACTTCGTTCATCAACTAAAATACATTTCACCAACCAAGTATCACTTAACCACCAGAAATCCTTCTCATAAAGTATTTCTCAAATTATTCGAGAACTCATTTCATAAACCATAATACATTTTGCATGCCCATTTCATAAACGAAGTTCACAAATCAATATATATACCTTATTTCGCAACACCATTCCTAAACATATCTTAAACCATTTACAAATACCAAAATGTAGTAAATGTTCGATCCATACTTTTATGCAACATATATGCTCTTTCACAACTCATAGTATATCGAATCTCTTTCGCTTTCAAGACATGAGTTTACAAATCCATAAAAGAGATAGCACCACTCATCGCTAAATGCCTACAATCAAATAACAAAAATTACTCGAACCGTCGAACTCGCAATCGTATCAAATAAGTAAGGAACAACGTTAAAATCGAGTCAAATGCTACCTCAATCATCTCGGATAAATTAGTCTTAGTAACGTAACGACTAAAAGGCACTTACAAAATCGCTCATCCAAAGCGATTACTCAAAGCCGCCCCCAAGGCGGAGTTTGAACACAAAACTTGATCGCGATATAACTTCCTCCACTGAACCACGTTCCAAGCGAGCATACAGTAAAAAAAAAAAAGCACATTCAAAGAACTACAAGACCCCCAACTTGGTCGACCCAAAATCGAGCCAAAAAGTGACACAAAAGTGACAAAAATCGGCATGGAAAGCTGCTAGTCTCTACTGTTCACCATGCGCGTGCAACTTCATAAATTAGTTTCAGGCAATCCGTAAGTCCAAATCGAGATCAGTAAAATCCCATGGCTCCATGATACCTTAAACTACCAATCGTATATATATATATACGCTGCTCAACAACTCAAAAATCGGATTTCGCAGCTTGATTTTCACAAAACTCTGAAATTATGCCCTAATCCCGAAAAATACTCCGATTGGACGAACAAGGGGCGCAAGTCTTTACCGAGCGTTGCAATGCGTAGTAAATCTGGCTCGGCGAGGTGTCCATGGTATCAACGCTCAAAGCCCCCTCTCTCTCTCTTCTTTCTTCTTCTTCTCTTTCTTCTTTCCCCTTTCCCTTTTTCTCTGCGTTAGTTTCTCTTGGCCTCTCCTTTTTCCTTTTAAGGACTGTCCACTTTTTCTCTTTTCTTTTTACTTATAAAAGGTGGGTCCTACCACTTCTTTGACTGGGTTACTAAAAAGGCCAAATATTACAGAAACTCTTTCTTCTTTCTTTTTTGCCGTATTTCCTTATTTCCTTTTCTCTCTTTCTAAAACGAGAACCACCATTAGAGACAAGTGAAGCTCCGAAGGTATGAAGGTTCGCTTATCATTTTATCTACCCTTCTACTTTTTTCCGTTTACAAATTTTGTCATTTCGTAAACTTTCCTACAGATAAAATCTCCATTACAGAGATGAGAAGATTCGGTTCGCATCGCACTTGGTTCGGTCTTCTTCTCCATTCTTTTACAATTAGAACTTTGCCCTTTCATTGACTTTCCCCAATATTTTTTCCGTTTTGCAAGGAAAAATCTCCATTATTGAGGTGAGAAGCTTCGGTTTGTGTCACACTTGGTTCATTCTTCTTCTCCACTCTTTTACGTTTAGAACTTTTGCCATTTCATTAACTTTTCCCAACTTCTTTTAGTTTCTAAAGGAAGAATCTCTGTTACGGAAGTGCAAACTCCACTTCACACAACAAAATAAAAGTGCGCTGCGAGATGCTCCGATTTGCGCAAAACAGAGGTGCTTTGTGGGACTTCACTCGGGTTCACGCAAAATAGAGGTTTGCGGCACTTCGCTCCAGATCGTGCAAAATAGAGGTGCATTTCGGCCCTACCGTATTTTGCCTTCGCAAAAGTCTCATTTCGTAAATGAGTCACACTTTGCTCCTAATCGATCTTATGTAGACTTTTGCCGATCCTATAAATTGTTGTATGTGAATCATGACACATTGCTTTGGCACCACCAATCCGAATCCCATCAATCGACTAAAACTTAGTGGAGCGGGGCATGGATGGAGCGGTATTAGAAGGTCAGCTTATGCAAGTGAGCTCCTCTTAACAATTATGAGGAACCCCAACAATGCCGGCCAACTGTTTGCACAAAGGTCTACGCGTGAATTGGCTTAGCAATTGTGATTGTTTTCACAAATTGTGGTTGTTTTCACATACAATCTTGCAATGGAAGAAAGGAAAAAAAAAAAAATTAACACCCTTGAACTCAGGTTGTAGTCGCACTGCTTTGTATGTTTCTTTCTTTTTTTCCGTCTGTCATAAGTGTTGCTGGATGATTGAAAAGCTTAGATTGAGATTGAGATTGAAATTTCAATATAGAAGATAACAGTGCTACAACGAGCTGCAGATAAGATTTTTCTTTTCAAAGCTTGCAAATTAGTGGTTATGGTAGATAAACTAAAAGATTGTTGTTGCTAGATAGTTTTTGAAAGATTTCCGGATAATTCCCGTTCGATAATTTCTTTTGCTTGGACTGCATCTATTTTTTATTATCGTGACTATAAGTTTAACTACCACATTATGAAGCAGAGAGATGCGGAGGTTTAGCAATCCACCTTCATTGCGAAGTAGAAAGGTGTGAAGGTTAAGCATGGTTGACCACGGTTAGGCATTCCAGCACGACCAGTCAAGTGCTCTAATTCTTCAGTCATAAGAGGTTCTCTCTCTTATGTGGATGCTTTCAAATTTTCTAGGCAAATTTCTTGTAATTGGTGATGACTGATGATGGTGGTAGATTTTTCATAACTTATATTTTAACACATACACGGCAGATTATTCCTAATCCATGTAGATAGCTCTGCTTGTTCTCGGCATAAATGGCTATGACCTCATCTATTTTTATAACTAAACTTGTTTTCACTTTATCTTTCTTCTTTCAATGATTACAATTTTTTATTGTAGAGGCTCCAAAGGATAATAGCATCGTGCATAAGGTCGATAAAGAAATTCAATTTAGAATTGGCATGATATTTGCTAATGAGGACGAAGCATATAATACATACAATGCATATGCAATTTGAAAGGGATTTGGAGTACAAAAAGGCAAAAAGCAACAATAGTAAATGAATATTGCGTAGATGCACATTTCTCTGTAATTGTGAATGACACTCTCCACCAATCCCACTTCATAAATAAAGAGATGTTTATAGAACAGTGAAGAGAACCGGATGTCAAGCTTGCATTAAATTCAAAATTGAAGATGGAGTTTGGATAGTTACCGAGTTTAAGGATTCTCACAATCATCCTTTCATTGATGATAGACAAAAGCACTTGATACGGTCGTATCGACACATTACAGATACTGGTAAAAGTATTTTGACTTCCATGGCCAGGGCGAGTATAAGGGCTACGAAAGCATATTCCTACCTAAGTGGTGAAGCAGGAGGACTACATAATGTTGGGTTTACTTTACGTGATTGCCAAAAAATTTTACAATCAAAGAGAATGAACCTAATTAGTGCAGGTGATTGTCAAAGTCTTATTAACCATTTTAATTGCTTCCAATCAAATGGAAGCAATTTCTCTTATACATTTTAGCTAGATAATGAACAGAGACTGACCAATGTTTTTTGGTCTGATGGTGTGTCCAAGTTGGATTATGACAGTTTTGGAGATGTGGTGGTATTTGATACTACTTACTATACGAATGAGTACAATATGATATGTGCACCTTTTGTTGGCTTGAATCATCATTGAAAGAATGTTCTCTTAGGTTGTGCATTTCTATTGGATGAAACTACTGGTTCATTTGTTTGGGCATTTTAATCCTTTTTAAAGGTAATGGGCAATAAAGCACCCAAGACTATTTTCACTAATCAAGATCATGCCATGGCAAATGCCATTAAAACTGTTTTTCCGAATACTAATCATCATTTGTGTATATGGCATATTGGGAAAAATGCTACGCATATTATTGCACATCTTCTTGGAAAGACAGATTTTCGTGATAAATATTGGCAAAAGCTTCTATATCGTTGCAAATCTCTGAACTTGAAATGGAGAACACTTGGAAGCAATGTGTGAAGAATGAAACTTAGGGAATAACAAGTGGTTGGATAGTATATATCGCTTGCGGCATAAGTGGTGTCCTGCATTTGGGCGTGATACTTTTTCCACAGGAATTAGATCTACACAAGGAAGTGAGCACAAATAATGTTTCTCAGGATATGGCATGTAAGACTATGACTTTATCCGAATTTGTCAATCATTATGAAAAAGCAAGTGGAAAAAATGCGCAACACTGAAGTTGTTGATGATTTTGAGTGTGCTCGAGGAAAGTCATATATGATGGTTGAGAATAGTAGAATTTTGAAACATGCTACATATGTGTACACTCATATCATATATAGGAATTTTCTGGCTGAGTTCTTGCATGCTTTGTCTGAACATGTTCTTGGATCAGATGTTGATGGGCCATTGCGTACTTATATCTTGGGAACTGAAAGTAGTGAAAGGAAGCATATTGTCCACTTTAGTCCGAGCGATTCTACCGTCACATGTAGTTGCAAGTTATTTGAAATGCATGGATGGTTGTGTAGGCATATTTTGTGCATCTTGACTCATGTTGCGAATTTACAAGTATTCCATCACAATACATTCTAAAGAGGTGGACAAATGCTGCAAAGCAAGGGACACCTTGTGATGAGATCGGACAAAGCTCTCATGATGATGTTCGAGGCCAACCTCGCTGGCCCTTTGTCAAATTTCATGGAGTGGGTGTCCTTCAAGTAAATCAAGATTACCTTTATCGATGTAGATGATTGTGAGCCCCTCCTCTCACACCTGCTCAGTGCTCACATCACAAACTTTACCAAGAAATTGAAATTGAACTGCTAATTTGGGAGTCAAATGAATTAAAGCTAAGGTTACATTTTTTTGAATCGATTTAGCCTGAATTCCTCATACAACTCCGCGTGGACTCACTCAAGCCCACGGTGGACTTCAAATTCTTTTTTAAAGTGCCAACAAGTTAAAATTCATTAGAAGAGCGATGTTGGACTCTTTGCCGAAATATGCCATCGGATACACTAAAATGGTCATTTTTCACCGTGTTGGCACTAAAGTAATGACGTCATACGATTATTATGTGCCTTATAGTGTCCATTTTCCAATAAATAAGTATCCGAATCTGGGCTTTAATTATCCGGGAAAATATCAAAACGCTCTTAAACCTATTACAATTGTGTTAATTCAATTCTAAACTTTTTATGCCAACTGAATCCTAAACCTATTGCATTTGTGTCAATTCAGTCCATTTAGCCAATTTTGGCCGACCGGTGCTGATATGACCACCAGCCTCCTATGTGGCACGGCTGACGCTAATATGGATATTTTTTTTAATAATTTTTTGAATTTTTGAATTGGTAATTCTTTTTTTCCCCCTTTTTTTTTCTTTTCTTTCTTTTTCTTTTTTTTCCTCCCTTCATCTTCAACCTCTAAATGGCTGCTGAAACTCTATGACTGGCTAGAGGAGGCTAGACCTCGCCCTTGCTAGCGACTGTTAAGGTTGCCCTTGTTGGCCCTCACCTCTGGCCGGTCGTTGAGTTTCGGCAACCAGTTAGAGGTTGAAGATGAAGAGAGGAAAAAAAAAGAAAGAGAAAGAAAAGAAATAAAAGGGAAAAAGTATAAATAAATAAATGATTCGAGAAATTAATAAAATATTATTAGAAATGTTTATGTCAGTGCCAACCACGCCACATAGGATGGTCAGCGTCCATGTTAACACTGGTTGACCAAAATTGGTCGGAGCTGGACTGAATTTGCTCAAATGCAAAAAGTTTAGACTCAATTGGCATAACAAATGTTTAGTACCAGATTGACACAATTGCAATAGATTTAAGACTGTTTTGGTAATTTTTCCTTAATTATCCTACGGATTTAGAACTGACAAAAACTGTTTTGGCTATTCAAATGGTACCCCTTTTTTATGCAATTTTACTGAATCATATTAAAAATTTGTTCTAGAACTGCAAGAAAAGTGTCAGATAAGTCATAAAACTATTTCATTTGTGCCAATTTAGTCATAAACATTTTGACCTTTAACCAATTCAGTCCTTTCGATTAATTTCAGCCGGATATTACTAACGTAGACGCACAGATGGCTTACGTGGCACCACCGGCACTAACGTGGATAAATTTTATTAATATTTTAATATTTTTTAGATATTTTCTTTTTCTTTTTTTTTCCTTTTTTTCTTTTCTTTCTTTTCTTTTTTTCCTTTTCCTTCCTCCTTCCTCCTATCGATTGCCAAACCTTGGTGATCAGCTAGAAGCCAAGGCCGGCAAGATCGACGTTGTCGGCCTCTGGCGAGGCTTACCCTCGCTAGTAATGGCAACGCTGAGCCTCTCCATGGTTGGGCGAGGTTAGGCCTTGCTCATGGCCAATGAGGCTTGACTCTCGCCAAATCCAACGAGGGCGACCCTCGCCGGCCATGGGCAAGGCTGCTTTCGAGGCTCACCCTCACGGCCATCCAACGAGGTCGAGGTCGACCCTAGCCTTTGGCCGGTCCCCAAAGTCCGGTGACCGGTTGGAGGAAGGAGGAAGGGAATGGGAAAACAAAGAAAAAGAAAGAAAAAAAAGGAAAAAGAAGAGAAAAATTAAAATTTTATTAAAAGTTGTCCACATTAGCTCCCGTAAAATATTTACTTGCCTCTCGTGACTGGCCAGCCGAGGACCGGTCAACATCCACATCAACAATATCATGCCAAAATTAGCTAGAATGACTAAATTAGCTCTAGGTTAAAAAGTTTATAACTAAATTAGCACAATTAATAGGTTTAACTTTTTTCTAGACACTTTCCCCTCGAACAGCTACTCCATCTTGCGAATCAAATGACTCAAATAACTTTTATATTTCTATTCTTGTCCTATTATATTTCCCGTGAAATATTTACTGTTCTGTCATTCCATTCTATGAAATGAATATGCTATAGAAGTTTGTTTGGTACATGTATGGGTTCCTATTTTCGTGTTTATTTTCCTCGTTAGATTGACATCACTATGAAAGAAGGCCACAGTAAGTTAGATTGACATCACCATGAAAGAAGGCCATAGTAACCGAATGTTGACATTTGATTTTTAGCCGACGCATCATACAAAGGTGAAAACTTGAGATTAGGGTTTCTGATCACGACAAAGCCCGTTTCACAACCAAAAAGATTCATTTAACATTTTTTCTTGCATTAGCCCTTTATTTCCTTTTCATTTACATTTTAATCTCAAAAAATCCAAACGTTGACTTTTGACTTGACCGAAAGGTCAACCCTATGTCAAAATTTGGTTTTTTGCATGAAAGGTCCTAAAATAGTGTCAATTTTACTTTTGCATTGTCAATTTTTGAAAAGAAATCAAAGTTTGACTCATTAATTTACATTTTAGTAACTAATTACTAAAATTTTTGGTCAACACTTTATTCAAAAAAATTGAAATCTTAAAATCAACTTCTTTTTACCTTAATTTTACTTTGGCCTAGTTAATTTTATAGAAATCAGTTGAGAACCAACTTTTCCCCAATTTGTGGATTTCGATTCAAAATCAGTCAAAAATAAAATTACTTTATTTCTAGTTATTTTTTAGGATGACTTCCTCCATGACATTTGATTTAGAGGTCATTTCACATTCAAATTGCAAGACAATTTCAGAATTCCAACCCAAAGGTAAAAACCCTCAATTTGAGCCTTAGTTAGTGATTCTGGTCGATTCTTTATGAGTTGCGCAATTAAACTGTGAATGAGTATGTTTTCTTATATGCAACTCAAATCCAATATCAATTTTGGCAAATTCACACAAATTCGAATCGATTTGGTCAATTTGGCTAACAAAAAGACTTGCCAAATCAAATTAACTTGGTTTAAATGATGCAAT